CAGAATCCTGCAGTAGCCTACAGTGGAGGACCTCCTCTGTGAAAAGCTGCCTAGTTGTCGGCGTGGTTTTTGTGTGTGTATGTGTGCAAGATTTAGTGTGATGCGCAGGAGGACAGAAACTGGTATCCATCCAAAAATTAGTCCCCAATAACTTGGATAAGCACGTCACAAAAGTCGGGTGAGAGCACTACTCCTGTGGCTGTGAGTTTCATATAGGAATCAAAATGGCGTTGCAGGGAGGGACAGTAAACCTGATATTAAAATGAGAAATAATGTAGCAGAATTGTTGCAAAGTTCATTATCTGGGATCTATTTTTTGCTGCTTTGCATCGGCACCCCAGACCCTCACTATCATGAGCAAAACCACACGTCCAACCTGTTATTGACTGTGGTCTGATGCGCCAGTTCCTGAACAAAAGAAAGCCATCACTGCGCCCTATACTGAAGGACTTTGGTTTCGGCTGCGGTCCCCCGTGTGCAGCTGGACTCACACCTGGTCATACAGCGACCACTCATCCGTGACCCCTGTCAGAAACGGTGTGATCAATTTTAAGACCCGCTATCAGAATCCCTAATCTTTGAAGGTGTTGGCAACTTTCCTGACAATGAAGCTCGAGTGGAGACTGCCATAGTGACAGTTATAACCAATTCTGCCTCAAAATGAGCAAACACGGGGAACCCACGAAGCGTGTCACGATCCGAATAAACCCACATTACCGTCCCGAGTGTCACCTGCAACTTGGATACCGTGACATTTAATTTATACGTGGTTTAACAGTAAATAATCTCGACCACGTCACTCAAAGTCAATGGCCGGACTGTGTTAGTTGTGAAAATGTATCCATGTATTAAAAGGAAAAACGGACTCCTGCATTGCACGAACAGCGTGCATCAGCACGAGCATAGATGCAGTTTCGATGTGCGTTGGGTGATTTTGTCCCAGGTTCCGCGTGTTTGGGTCAATTTAATGCGAATTGTGCAAAATTGTTCACGGCACGCGTTACTTCCAGCGGGTTTTCCTGGAATAAAAGTTGTTGGCCGGCGCGGATGGAGGACAATGAGTGTGCCGGCGTAAAGCCCAATGTCTCTGCTATCAGCCCGTGATGTTCCGCTCGGTAGTATTCATCGGGAGTTTTTATATTTGTCAGGAGTTGGAGGATGAAGAAACACAAACGGGACGGCGCCAGTTCCATGGAGTCCGCTAGATCAGCTGCTGGCAGTTGGTGTTCTCAATCACGTCCGCAGATAGGCTTCATAGGCTCACTAACGCGCCTGTGGAATAAGACACTTAAACTGATCCCGGGTATTAAAGCGTGACTTTGTGTGGATGAGATTTTTTATTATTTATAAGCAGAAATAAAGTAGCGCATTGTCCGATAACCTGGACTTAGAGGAAAAGCTTCATTTCTGACTGCGCGTTTATTTCGCTCTTCTCGACGTTCCTGTGCACAGAGCAGGGTGACACTTACACCTTCCAGGACTTGCTGGTTAACTTACTCAAAACAAAGAAGAACAAAAAAGTCATCATGACGGAGACATCCACGGCTCCAGCCAAAGCCAAGAAGGCATCCAAGCCCAAGAAGCTCGCTTCTCATCCCAAGTACTCGGACATGATTAAAGCGGCTATTGTTCACGACGCGAGCCGGAGCGGAGCGTCCCGTCAGTCCATCCAGAAGTACGTGAGGAAAAACTACAAGGTGGGCGACAACGCCGATGTCCAGATTAAAATGGCCTTGAAGAGACTGGTGGCGGCTGGGACGCTGCGACACACCAAGGGAATCGGCGCGTCCGGATCCTTCAGGCTCACCAAACCGGAGGACTCCAAAAAGTCCACCAAGGCGGTAGCGGTGACGGCCGCCAAGCCAAAGAAAGCGGCTAAGCCCGCCAAACCCAAGAAGGTGGCCAAGCCCAAGAAGGTGGCCAAGACACCGGAGAAACCCAAGAAAGCAGCTGCGAAGAAAGTGAAGAAGGTCGCGAAGAAGGCGACGCCAGTAAAAGCCAAAAAGGCACCGGCGAAGAAACCCAAGGCAGCCAAGCCCAAAGCAAAACCAGCAAAGAAAGCAGCCAAGCCCAAGGCAAAGACACCCAAAAAGGCAGCCAAGACATCAAAAAAGAAGTGAATGGACAATAGCGGAGGCAAAATCACTGTAAATACTTAAGGAAATGTTTTCGTATATGTATTATTTTTGTAAGGTGTCATGCAAACTTATACTGTTTTTACCAGTAGTTTTCTCTCCATTTGCACTATAGCCTAAAAAAGCTGTAGAAATAATTGTGAGCATTGTTTTTTTGTTTTTTTAATTATTGCGTTAATAATAATATTAATAATACTGTTAATTCCCGTCTGATCCTCGGTTACTTATAGGCTAGAGGGAGATCTTGCTGATAAGGAAAACTTGTATATACAGTGGAAGTCATGAATAGTTGTTGTTAGTGCACGAGGTCATGCTGAAAATACAAATGTTTCAATGTTGAGCATTGTTGAGCCTTCACAATGTACAGACCATAGGAGGCGAGCGTCAGCAAGAATTTCCTAAAGCCTCTATAGTGGTCATTCAGACTCCATCCTGTATATATTTTTTTCCATGTTCAGACGACTCATGATGTACAAGCAACACTCTGTATTCAGTCACTTTTAAAGACTGCTTACACTGCGACCCAATAAACCTTTGTCATCTTCTAAAAAACAAAAAAGTGTTTTCAACTTATTGCGCGCATGTGCGTAATTCGCTTCGTGAAGCGGATGGATAAAATACTGTGCACAGCAAAACTCTAAAGGCTTATATGTCATTTATTTGGCTGCAAGGACAAAGAACACAGTGTTCTCAATTTTGGATGTGTGGATATTTGGGATGACATATAAACCCTCTTTTTCATAGTATTAGTTATGCGCTGGGATTTAACAAAGCCCACCTACGGAAGCCTTAATGACATATTTTAATCGCATAAGAGCTGATTAAATATAGTGAAACTTGAGATGACTTCAAGTTATAACGTGGCAATTTACACTATGAAGCAATAGTGTTACTTATCAAGTGCAACCTGCTCTCCGTGGGTGCAGACAATAGGTTTGATTTATAATCCGAGTGACATAAAGCACGAAGCCTGCACACAACAGAGCGGGAAATGTGCACAGGAATAAAGCACTTTAATACAATGAAAATGCAGTTGTATACAATGGCAGGGGCATTAAATAACTGGGGGTTAACGCTTTTTAGTGAAACCCACAATTCAAACGCTCCTACATAGAGGACATACAGGTTAACCTGTAACAATCATTCGCACATCAAACTCAAAATCTATCATGTAGAGGGGCTGCAGATCCCCGAGGAGGTGCCTTTGCAGACACACCCATCGTTTGCCGTCCTCCTCCTTACCTGAGGAGCAACTCTGCCATCTTGTGGCGTCCTGAAGGAACAAACGGACTCCTCTTCACTGCAGTCGGCACAAAGGTGGCAGCAGACTGGAGTCCCAACTGATGATGTGAGTCAGGAATCAGGATTACATGTAAATAACTCCCCTCTTGTTATCTTTATATAGGGATGTAAGATTGCTGCACTAACCTTGTTTAAAAGCTCCCTGCTGAGCAATCAATGTGCAGCGGGCAGACTAACCAAAGCATGCCACTGTTGAAACCGCATCAATGAGGAGTAATCTAATTTTCAGTATTTTAACTCTTTACGCATATAAATAAATAAATAAGGTTTTGTGATTAAGTTTACAGAGAATCCATTCCTCCTGTGACTCATATACACTCGGATGCCAGATATTAAAAACATCTGCTCTCGCTTGAGCGCTAAAAACAAAAAACTTCAGTAACGACAGAAACTTGGTCCAAAGATAAAAGTGCCAACTATTAAACATCAATAATAATTACAGTTTCACAACATCTCTTTCAACAGTCATGACGTCTCCACCCAGTCTGGTCTGGTCTTTTATTAAGCAACTAAAATCAGTAAGAAAACTGTTTTAAAAGTCAAAGAAACGTCCGGGGAAAACAGTGGGTTCAGAGCTAAATCAGGCAACAAAACAGGTATAATAATCAAAGAGTCATAGTGGGAAAACAATACAATGGTGGACTCATGGTGAAAATCATTGGAAGGGTGTTAGGGGGGAGAAAAAAAAAAAGCACAAATCAAACAGTTAAAATCAATTAAAATTAATTTAACTTCAAAGTGAAATTGACAAACCTAGCAGAAGCAAAGATAAATGACCACATTTTTCATTAAAAATGTAAAATTTTGTAGGTGTGCCTGGTCTCCTTTTAGAGCAGAAAATATTTCCTACATTCCGGCAGATGCAAATGCAAAACCACCATCTTCCACATGAAAGGAAAGTTTCTTTCTGCACAAAGAGAAATCTCTCCCTGCCACAGCATTCCCATTAACACTTCGCTACTAAAAAAGAAAAGAAAAACAATACTTCATCAGTCCAAACAGCATGCCTAAGAGGAAAGTAGCATGCTACAACTACTCACTGCCACTGGATTAATTTGGCAAATCGTATACGATTAATTTGTATCTCCGGTATCTCAGTCAGAAGAAACAGCGATTCTCATGTGTGGGTTTCAGCAGCAGCCAATCAGCAAGTAGTCTTTGCCAAAATGCTTCACATGCTGCCCTTTGGTTCGTGTTTCAATTTGGCATATTTTGCTTTATGGACGTATATAAAAATCTCTCATCATTAGCACTATATTGACACTGAGGGGGAAAGCAGTGGGCTTGACACTGCTTTCTTCCTGCATTTCCTCCCCTCTGATAAAGCACCTTTTTGGATATTAACAGTAGCAGTTCTTGGAGTGTCAAGCGCAGAAAGGCTACCCACTACTTAGCCTGGACGAACAATGTAAGGCGGAAAGAGCTGGGCCCGGCAGCATGGAGAATAATACGATCATCAGCTTGCTGCTGGTGTGATGTGATCAACTGACTTCAAAGTGGAGAAGAGATCAGATGATGGAAATGGCAGAGATATGGAAAGTGTCCTGGAAGCCTTCAGGGTATAAAAAAAAAAGTAAGATGACATGGACTTTGTCTAGTTCAAGCTGTGGCGGTTCTGCATCTGGTCACAGAGGTTTGGTCTTGATGGATGGAGCATCAGGCTGGGGGGGGGAAAGCCTTTCCAGCTTGTCAGTCATTTCAGTCTGGCAACAGCTCTGTAGATAGCAAAACCCAGAACTGCAACCACAGCCGAGCCTAAAGCCACTCTCAGCCAGAATGTTGTGTTGCTCATGTCTGAACCATTCAGGTGCCTGGAGATTGAAAGGGAAAAAGAGCAATCACAGAGGGTCAGCAATAAAAAAAAAAAAAAAACCATGAACAAGCATTAATATTACAAACATCTAGCTTACTTTACACCTTCACCTAGCACCTTTTATTCATTCAGCTTTATAGTTTCTACAGTTTTAATGAAACTTTCTCCTGAATACACCCCTAGAAACTCTGTATATCAAAATGATTTTTAATGATAATAAAATGTGGTAGATATAACTCTACACTTCATTTAGTATGTGCAGAGCCATAAATATGCAATTAACCCCTGCCTCGGCTTTCTGCTGCCTGCCTGCCATCATCTCCCTCTGCACGTGCAAACCAAAGTGACTGTCAGAATCTGTGTGTATGATGTTTATGAAACTGTCATTGGTACTATACAGTTACAGGTAACAGTGTTATCTAATGTCTGACAGCACTTAGGATATTTTTAATCTGTGCGCAGTTTACCTAAAACAATATACAGTTCCTATAGGTGGATATATATAATATATAGAGACATTTACCTCACATATACTTCTCTATTAATAAATCTAACATGGGCTCAACCTGGGATGTTCTCCCTGTACCAAAGAACCTAAATGGTGACTGAAAACAGGAGGTGGTGACTGAGTGCAGCAGGCTGTCTAACTGAAACATACGGGTACATGGCTGCCCAGGCAAGTCTTGTGTAGATGTTCTTGCTGGTGGAGTCAAGGGACAGCGTGGAGAAGGGCATCGGTGGAGGCAGTCTGTGCTTATAACAGAACTCTGCTGGGGTCATCCCGTGGAACTGCTTCACTTCAGGAAGGTCCACCTTGGAGGCGACCAGCACGCATGGGATGTTGCTTTCCATGTAGTGTTGCTAAATTAAAAAAAATTAAAAAGTTCAAACAGTGAAAAGCTGAGTTGAGAGAGAAGCAAATTTATATAAAAGGGTGTCCTAATGTAATTAAGATAACACATAACTATGGGGTTGTTAACTAATTACAGCCAGTGGGTCCGAATACAAGAAAATGAAATCACAGTTTATGTTTATGTGTTGCTTAGTAACTGCAGAGTAATTGTAACTGAATCTTTCTTTAGTCAAACAAATATTAAAAAACTAATAATGATGCTGGAAGGATGTCTGTCTCAAGTCTATTTAATATGTTGGACCGTCTAACCTCTGCAATCTTCAGCTCTCCAAACTTATCTTTCTGTAATTACATATACGAACGGTAAAGACTGGGAGAGGCTGCAAAGTGAGCTGTGCTGGATTATCAGATAGGGTAACTGTGGGCAAACAGCAGCAAAACACCCAGTAAAAATAGAACTGATCTCAAAATTAAAAAAATAAATAGAAATTGACACTTTGTCCTTCAAATGGTCCTGCAACTGACCTTGTATATGCTGGCACAATAGTTGAAGGAATGGGGGTCACTGATGTCGTACATGAGACAAGCAACATCACAGGAGGCGTCTGACTTCTTCAAGAACTCTGTCTCCACGTCTACCTCGTTAAGCTGCAGAGAAGAGAAGGTTGCTCAGGTTATAGTCAGGGTCAGATAGAGAGAGATGGTGATTTAAAAAAAATCCCCATGGGAGCTACTTACGATAAGGTACTTTTCCTGGTTACTGACTTGTACAGTATTTATGACATAAGGGCAGAAGGCACTGCTGGAATCGCCTTTATTCTATTAAAGCAAAAAAAGACACTTTAGCATGATCAGAGTTAATAGTAAAGAGTAGTATTTGTCTATCACTACCTAAGAATGCAACATATGACATTCAGCTCCGGACTAGGTGATGGGGACATACCACAATGTGGCGATCCAAAAAGGCCTGGAGGAAGGCCGACTTGCCTGTCCCTCTTGGTCCAATCACTTTGCAGAGAAATACTGATCTCTGGGTCTGTCGCTTTTCTAGGTCCACCTTTTTCTCTCGTGTCACTTCACATATGAACATTTAAACAAACAAACAAATCACAAAACGGGCAAAAACACTGATATGCTATTAGACTGTTAGACTTCAACTAGTTTAGCTGTAAGAGCACCACCGATGCTCATCAAAAGAAAAACGTTAAACATTTCAGATGTTAAAATTCTGGAAAAAAACATAAAACACCAAAACATAAGATGCCAAAAGATCAGCCTGTAAAAACAGTGTAGAAATTACCCAAAGATAAACTGGTCAACATATGTATTTGCTACTGCCCCATCTAATAAGCCACTTTAGTTATCTTAAAATGTTTTGCCGTATTTCACATTTGACATGAAAGTTGCTGGTGAACATAAACCTTGAGTAAAGTGACCTCTAGTGGTTGTCAATACCCGTACACATAAACACTGCATTAGTTTTAAATGAAGTGTAAAGTTTAAAGTTTGTGCTCAAAGCAACCAATAGAAATAGAGCTAAGAATTTAAACTTTAAAATAAATCTATCAGAAAGATAAAAAGAAGAGCAAAACACTGGCTTCTACTCACTGATGTTACTTAAGTGCAATCTTTAGCCTGAATGTAGTTCTCAATGACACTAAAATGAGGAGGTTTTATCCTGTGCACAGTACAAAAACCCCTGATGACAGGCAGTTATTAAGCAGACTTTCCCTGAATGATTCTGCTAACATGGCTAAAACCAAAGTACACAAAGAGGTTAATTTATTTATTTAAAAGAAAATCAAAGTAAGATCAGGTTTTCTTGCACAAAAAAGGCTGACTCACCAATGGACATCAAACTACCTAAAAGAAAACTAAAACCAGCACGCACATGCACAAAAAGTCTCTTTGAAAAAATGAAAGATTTTTGATGTTTTCCTGACAAATGTGTAACATTACATCACACATCCTTACAAAACTGTTCTCAAACTGCCCACAATGTGTCTGCAGATATCTTTAAGTCACATCCTGTCATATACTGTCAATCACAAAATACAAACTTCATCACTCATTGAGTTAATACCCAGTTACTTTGCCATGCAGAGAGTGCACTGTGCTTCAACGCATGCATCCATAAATGTATTGAAACACATGCAATTTATAAACTTCCATTTCAAGGGGAACTATTAGATCAGATCACCGTGCACAAGCTAAACTTATTCAACAGCATTAAGACTAATCTTCCAATATAGAGCTTAACATATGAGAATTACATTTAAGAAGTACTGTAATAATGCCTTTTATTCACCATCCATGTTAAACACACACACACACAAACACACACACACACACACACACCTGTGACTCCAGCAGTCTGTGAGTCCTGTTCAGTGAGAATAGGGTAGCCTAGATATCCTAGGTGCTCCAGGCAACGGTGGATGTCAAGGTATGCAGAAAGCCTGTGAAGGTCATACGTGTGCAGACAATAAACTCCTGGACGTGCATTAAAGTGTAAACCCAGAGCTTACTTAACACATAATGTCAATAATTTACAAAGAAACTTACGTCCACTGACAGAGGTAGCCGTGATTTGAGATGTAGCCCTTATTTGTGGTTGGGACAGTCATGTAGACTTCAGGACCCCATGGCATGTAAGGACATACGCAAAACAGGTTTCTAAGCTCTTTCGGTGACAAGGCGGAGTCCTTATCCTAAGAGGGAAAGCAATGCACTTCTTCAAAACCAGAATGTCAGTAATGTAACAGCTCATCTGGCTCACAATCCATCGCAGTTCACTGTTTATTATGACAAATGTTGTGAGATCCTATAGATGATCACTGTGTGTAACTTTGATTAAATTCTTATCAATACCGTAGGAGTAGTGAATCCTGTGAATTGTGGATGAATGGATGGATAGACTCAACATGGTATGAGCTACCATTTAACAGGCAGATCATGTTTACACTAATTTTACTGTGCAGCATGACACGAGACCCTTTCAAACACTCACTGCATTCTATTAATCGATCTGGCTTTATGTGTTAGCGGCACCCTGTTTATTTTTCATAACAAAGCTGAGACAGCAGTCATTACAAAAATCTATGTACCTCCTTTAACACAGAACTGAATTCATACTGTCACATTAACAGCACACATAAAATTACAAGCAGAGAGAACAAGAGCCAGTTTGTGCACTTTTTGTTGTCAGAGGCATATAAACATTCAGTTTACTAAACCTAAGTGTGTACGGACACTTTCCTTGACTACATACATCAAATCTTGTGCATAATAGACAAAATTGCACAAGTACTGAGGTACCTTCCAGCATCAAGGTCAAGGAAACTTTTTAAATAGAGCTCATGACTCAAACAACTGAACTTGCTACTTACTTCATCGTACTTGTCAAACAACTGCTGGATGAACTGGTAACCCTGATGATTGAGCTCTGTGGTGCAGCCAACAGGAACTCTGAGTCTGACAACAGAAGAACATTTAGATATTTCAATATTTCTCTGACTAATGCAGAAAAACCAAACAAAGTCAAAACCACCTGGATGAACAGGATGACAGATTACTGTAACTGTACAGGAGCAATGACGTTTTCAGTGTAATTATATGCCCCACTGGTTTACTGTGGCCTTCAGCAATGTTATGTTTTTGGACTGAGACAGGATGCAGGCACTACACATACTCAGGGTAAAGGTAATCATCAGTCAGCTCAAGGTTGTCATCGTAGCCAAACTTTCTGAGGATAGTCCACGTGGTTTCATGTCGACCCCTCTGAATAAATAATGTATTAAGGAACAAGAAACCTGAAAAAAGAAGAAGAAAAAGAAACGTGACACCATTAGTTGAATACGGCCCTCAAACAACCTGGTTTAAGGTTACACGCTGACATTCATAACTTTGTATTTAATTATTTTTTAACCATTTAGGGTCAGGCCATTGTCCTGGACTCCATCGCTGGTGTTCTTCCAAACTACAGTCTTTACATCTTCTAAGGCTTGTGGTGCCAGAGGATTCCCAAAACAGGATTTCTACATGAAGACATGTGTTTTTAGTAAACAAATCAGATGTTTGTCTGAAGTAAAAGCTGAGAAAACATTTGATTTGTTTAAAATGAGCACCTGAAAGCTGTTGAGTTCAGCATCACTGAGGATGCGATCGTTGTCCTGGTCGGAAATGTAGAATATTCGGGTGAGAGCTCGGACACACGACGGTTTTAGCTAGAGATAAACATTAGATATAAAATTAATTTATTTGAATGTATGCGTGTATACAAGTGAAGTGTTTCAGACAGGAAGAACCACACCTGGCATGCAGCTCCAAAATAAATAAATAAATAAATAAATAAAAAATAATGGCTGACCTGTTTGTCCTCAGGGTCATAAAGAGGAGCAGTGGGGTGTAGCACTGCCTTCTGTGCATAATAGAACAGCTCTGAAATGTTTTTTAGGTTCTTTGCAGAGCACTTGGAAAAAAGAGACAAAGTGCAAAGAATGGTTCAGATATCATTGTCACAGAAATCCCAAAGGCAGATAAGGTGTTCATGTGTAAATATTTTTATGAATCCAGGCGAGTCCAGGTAAAATAAGCAGGTGTGTACAGACAGGAGAGATTAGATCTGTGTGTGTGAGTTAAGTTTCACCTCAACACATGTCTCAATCTCAGAGAACTGGTTCATGATGGGTAGAATGGTTTCCATGGAACTCCCACAGCGCAGATCAGATTTGTTTCCCACGAGGATGATGGGAACCCTGATGTAGCCAACGGAGACAGAAGAACTTTCAACACAACACCGTCGGGACTTATTAAACACATACATCACAACCTAAGCTCCTGGCCACTTGTGGGATTCAAATACTAATACTCGTTCCACATTTTGAGAATTTCACTGATGCGCTAAGGTCTACTATAAAATGTCACAAGAAGCTCTAGTTCCCAGATTACAATGTTTGCCAACATCATATGCAAACAAACACTGTAAAAGAGTGCAAAGTTCAACAGATTAGAGGACACCTAGCCGCAGACACGCACACACACACACACACACACACACACACACACACACACACACACACACACACACAAATACATACTTGTTTCCCTTCTCTGCATCTCCGTTGACTAAAGGTATCCATTTGGTTTTAATCTGAAAAAAGAAAAGGCGGCATGTAACACATGTGCGTGGGATCACTGTACAGTATGACACAATATAAGACAAACAGTAGTTTACTACCTTGTCTATTGTGTCCTCATTGGTGACATCATACACTACACACACCACATTAGCCTGTAAGGGGTGTAAAAAGAAAGTTGGATCTTAATCCTAAAATCTGAGAGCAGACTCAGTTTAAACGGTTTAAATGATTGCTACTTTACACTCATCATTTCAAAGACAAACAAAACAAAAACTAGAACAACAAAAAAACTTTAAGTACTGATTACATTTCGCAAGAGTGCATATATGTACCCGGAGCCAGAGAAAGGAAAAGGATCAGTCTGAAGTTTTATGGCCCCAGCTTTCATATTTTTATTTACAAGTATGCAAAGGTGCACTCCAGCTGGAAATAATAACATTTATTATGTTCTCTTGCTGCTTGCTGCATTTACCTTGATGATCTCATCTCTAAGGACCTCGTCACTCTGCTCTTTTTCTGTTAAAGTTGAAGATAAACATTAATCTCAAACTCATGCCATTCAGACACATGTGCACAATTTGCAACTTCGACAAACTGCACACACAGTGTACAACAAGAACAAATCAATGGTGTAATAATGATGTGCTACCTGAGTAGTCCACTATGTGTGTGGGAACCTTCTCTGGAGTCACATCAGCAGGGATGGTTATCTCTTCAGCTCTGGGGGGAACCTGTTAGAAATTAAACATCATTAACTGAATTAATAATCACAAACTACTGTTGGATGCAGTCATAATAAGACTCTGGTCATAAAAAGACAGATATGGTCAGCAACAATAAGTAGGCTGTGGTGTTTAACCCATGCTCAATTTGTGTCAAGCAGTACGTCAGTAAAATATCCCCCACATCATTACACCACTGCTAACCTGAGCTGTTGATACAGGGCAGGCTGGTTACATGCTTTCATGTTGCTTACACAAAAATGCGACTGCCATCCAAATGTCACAGCAGAAGTCGTCACTCAAAAAATTGCGATTATCCAATTGTTGTTAGTCTGTGCTAACTATAACTTCATTTTGACAGCTGACAGGATGGCATCTACTTTAGTGTTGTACATAATGTGCTTTTAGCTTTAATTTTCTGCATACTCCAATAACCTCTTTTTACGATCAAGGTAACTGTTGCTTTTCTATCAGCTTGAACCCATCTAGCTATTCTGAACTCTTGCATGAACAGGATGCCTAACCTGAGAACTGCTGCTCAGTGGATATTTTTTGGTTTTCAGACCAACTCCCAGAGATGCTTGCATGGGAAGATCAGATCAGTGGTTTCTGAAGTACTCAGACCAGCCTGTCTGGCACCAACCATAATGCCACGTTCAAAGTCACTTTAATCACGTCTTTTGGCAATTGTGATGCTTGGTTTGAACTTCAGCTTGTCATCTAGAACATGTCTACGTGCCTAACTGCACTGAGTTGCTGCCATTTGATTGGCTGCTTAGATATTTGTGTTAGTAGGCAGTTCAAAAGGTGCACCCAAAAAAGTGAAGGAGTGTACATAGCAAGAAAAGGCAAATGTTTAGATGCTTAAAAAGGCACAGCAGTGGTGAGCTGTGCTTACAGTTACCTGTTCAGGAAACTCCTCTCCAACCAGAGACATGATGAGAGATGTCTTCCCCACTTTGGCTGTCAGAGAAGAAAATGAGAGGATGAAAGGCGCTAATCTAGCTCGTATTTTGATAGCACCTAGTTATAAAGTAGTTATTATGCGGAGTGACCGCTTCATAGCCCACTTAATTGAAACGTTCACTCAGAAGAAAGCATGATTATATAAAAGACATACTATTGTTTGGCAGCTAACTGTTACTCTGTTTACCTTTAGTTAGTTTATATGGCTCCTTGATGACTGTATCGACCGTTAGAGAGTACTGATGTGTTAGCTTACCTAACTCAAAGCAAACTTTCCAAAATAACAATAAACGACCAATAAAATATACTTATGTTTTGCACAGTATGGCTTAAAACTGTTCAGTCAATAAGATAAAAATACATAAAATGATAACGTTATTGCGATTACTCCGCGCTAGAATCCAGCAGCGCATTATTAACTGTAACTTTCCAGTCAAATATTTTAAGCTAGCGAAATATAAACGACAGACAGGACTATATTGTACCAGCATAAAACATATTTTTATATGAGTAACTTCTTTCCTTTTAAAGACACTTATCGCCTCTTGGCATCAGCAGTAACCCAGAACATATTCAACTAGAAGTCAAAAAGTTAGTTAGCTACGGCAGCTAATGGCTGCTAGTTGCTTAGCTTGTGCTCGGCTGTCAGTGTGAATGACTTACGTTCCCCCAGCAAAAGTATCCTGACGTCTTGCTTCATGTTTTCTCTCTCTCTGGAGAACAGTCAGACACGTCGCGGCACTAAAGTGACATCCACCATTCATTTGAATGTCAAATTTCTAGCTTAAAACAAACGTGTGCCACTCCACAGCGATATGCAGCCAAGGTGAAATCATATCTTTCCGGTTCACAGAGGAGACTGTGAAACCACGCCCTCTGCTGGGCACAGGCCAGGCGTTATTCACTGCACTGTTGTCTTTGGATTTACTGCACTGGATCAGGGTTTGTTTGCTCAACTACACACTGAAATCACAGGGAATACACAACAAGTGCAAACAAGAAAAAAATATCAAACATGATATGTGGTTTCACATCAATCTGTGTTCATCACTCCCAGTTTAGCATTTTTAAATCACATTTCATCCTCGCAAATATAAATACATGGAGCACACCATCGGGGTCTATATTTTAACATTTGTCCCATTTATTGCCAGTCAATACTATAATTAGAGAGTTTGCTTTTCATTAATTAGAATCTTATTTTTGTAAACGGAATAATTTGGGTGTATGGATGATTGGATTTTTTTTTTTCCAGAAAAAAACTGTTGAAAAGCCCCTGACAGAAGTGGTGACTAGTATTGGTAATTAGTGAGACTGTCATTGACTGGGAAGCCAGACTTCAAGACTTTGTCACAGAATATCACTTGTGTGTGTCCTTTTATAGAAGGAACGCGGGGACAATGAGTACAACATATTCTGAGGAGGGCACCTGTCCACCTGTCATTCTGGTCCACAGCCTTAGTAAAAACATGTTGTAATTTTACACTTGCCTTTTATTTTCACACCAATGGAAAAATAGTAAATGCCAAGAGCTGTTTATCACTCATTTACACTAACACACATTCATACACTCTGTATGAAAACTCTCAATATATACATCTCTATATATAGAAATAACTAGACGCACACAAAAGATCTTGAATTTAAAAAACATTATATTTCAAAAACATACATATAAAAAATGATTCAGTTGATAAACTTATGCGACAAATCTTTCAACAAGTCTTCCACAAACAACACCAGTTCCACCAAAAATATTCAACTGATTGAACGATCTAAGAAACAGTAGGGTTACATAAAAAAATAAAACCTAGGTGAAAAATAATGAGCCTGCACAGATCAGGTCAGAGGCCTCGCACTTCCCACAGCAGGATCTCATTATAAGCCACAGAGAAAAGAAGTGTCCCAGAGGGAGAGAACTGGCACGTCTGCAGTGAGTCGCTGTGCTGCAAGAAGTCCTGAAACCTGCCACTTGTTGACTTGATCAGCTTCAGCACTCGCTCTGATAAGACACGAGACACACAGCGAATAATTCATCACTGGCCAGAAGCCAACCAATGCAGCTTTAATGTTTTTACTGGAACCATGTGACACATTTAAAATATAAGCAAACAAATGAAAAAGAAAAAAAACTCAGCATTTACCATGTGATCCCACAGCTACAAGATGACTCTTAGAAGACAGGCTAATGCATGTGGCCCAGTGGGGGAAGGAAATCTTCTTGATTATCTGCAAATAGGAATAAAAACAGGCTTCACACACTGTCTGTGTGCAACATTTGCTAGTATACGTTCATAAAAAATAAGAATAAAAAAAAAAAAAAAGAATAATTCGAAGCACTAATGCAGTGAAGCAAAGAGAAAATGTACAGTGGTACCTGTTTTTTAGTGAGGCTATAAAAAGACAGCTCTTTCTCTATTCCGTAGCCGGTGTAAACCACCAGGCTGTGGTCTGCTGGGCAGAAGGAAGCCATGCTGGGGGGCAGGCTGTCACCCTACAACATATGGAAGGAACAAAAAATATTAGATGGAGACGGGTAAAAAAAAAAAACCCTGTTTCTTTAAAATAGAAAATGTTTATTAATTAACAAGAGAACTTAAACTCATCATATAAATATGCCTGATGTAGCCACACAGACTCATTTTCATCTGCAGTCGTTGGCTAGTTGATAGCATATTAAATTCGTCAACAAAACAGAGCCATGTGAGCAGAATTAAAGACAGAAACACATGTAACGCAAAGCACATACCCAACATTTCTCTGGTTACCGAATTAGAAGCTCGACTGCAAAAAACTTGTTTTCTTGAGGCATATTTTACAGTCACCTCTGGAAAGCGCTGTGAATGTACATTACCTTTTTTAATGTACTCATTAAGAGGAGGTGGAGGGGCAGAAGAATCCTGCTTCTTGGTTTTAACATACAGATACATCCTCGTATCATCAGCATATTATTAGCTCATCATTGTGTCATCTGGCAAGTTACTGTAGGAGGGCAATTTTTTTTTTTTTAAACAGGTTACAACTAATATTTTTTCCCTTTCACTGTACAGAGAAACACAATCTTTTGTTTACAGTGCATTACTCACTAAAACTCTGTGCATATTTAAAGTCTAAATGTACTTCAGTCCTGTGCTGGTAGGATTTATGCTCAAGCATAAAATGAGGATGAGCAAAAGAAATACAGCCCTTCAATCCTACATTGGGGTTGAAGGGCTCTCGCTATGCTGTTGGAATGTTTTTGCAGACACTGCAAGCCAATATAGAGTTCTATATAGTTCTGTGTGACCCTGTTTATGCCAGTCCAGCTGTAGCAGCAGTTTCTATTTATGCACTTATCAAAAATTTACTTCATATATTAGCTGCATCAGAAACTTGACATCCCCCCCCAAAAAAACCAAAAACCCCCCAAACAAAACAAAAAGCCATTGAAGTGACATTTCAACTCATTACTATGCACTGTTACTTAAAATACCGATTGTACCGTGAAATGGGCGGGAGCAGGAAATGACAGCCAGTCTAGCAGATTACACTTGTCCTTCATCCAGTCGGCAGCCCACACACTGACGCGCCTGTCAGCGCTCGTGGCCAACCACAGGTCATTTCCTTCCAGCCCAAAATTTTTACACTGGGGTCGAGAAGATAAAACAGTGTCAGAAAGGTACTGATGAAAGAAAAATGGTTTTAAGTATCACTAAAGTTAGACGTCTTGCTTTTAAATAGTTTCACACAGGATCATTAACTCTAGCTAATATATTTCTGTGTATAAGAAGCAGGGTTCACTGAGGAATTTTAGTGTTTCTCTCACTGATTAATACTGACCATAGAGTTTATTACCAGTTCACATTTACATCTTCAGCTTCATTTTCACACATGCAGTGGGATTTGCAGACATTACCCAGAGGAGTGACAATGCACATGCCCAAACGAATCAGACTTCGCTTTAGCACAGTCTATGTGATGTCCAGTTAGGCCCATGTGTCAACAGTGCAGGTAATTAAAGCAAGTGTGTGGGTTATGTGTCCTGCCTGCACGTTGTACCTACATCAGTGTCGCGCAGGTGTGAGAACGTGTGCTGTGGGGTCTACGAGCAACATGTGAGTCTCTGCAGAACTTTAAATTTAAGGATGAAAATATCCAAAAAGGAATGATTCAGAACACTGTTTTGATTCTGTGACTGGTTCTATCGAAACGACCTCAGCTGCAGGTTGTTTATATATCATTTTCATATATATTTCTTAATCTCTTGTGGTTGGTTTCCAACATCTGCCACGGTTTCTGTTGTTCTGACTTCAGAGAGCTGACCTGTTCAATCACACACTGGATTGTGGTGATCATCGCTCCTTTGTGGTCCTTTATGACTCGAATAGTTGCTCCGTTTACCGGGCTGCTGACGGCTACCAGACCATTCTTCCCAGCTGAAAGGATCACATGACCTGTACAGTGGGGGACAAAAAAAAGTTCCAAAGCTACAACTGGATGAAACATTAAATTTTACTTCCAGAACAGTAATGCACAAATGAACCTTAAGATTCAAGAGCAAGTCCTTCCTGTGAGTATTTTCACTGAACAAAGTGACGTAGCTGAAATATATTATCACACTCTTATTCCTGCAAAGCAGATAAAATGTAAATACACTACATTCAGCTCTCCTCTCTCACCATTAGCTGAGTACTGGATGGCAGAGATAGCCACGTGATGGGGATGCAGCTTCATCTCCATCTCTGTTGAGGCGAGCCGAAAGATCCTTACAGTCCCGTCACTGTATCCCCCAGCCACGTACGTGCTGTCTGCACTGGAAAAAGGGCTCCAGCACACACAGTCACAAGCCTGATGAAGACATGAAACAAATGCATGAGCTGCTTATTAATTTTCAGCTTCAATAATTCTGTGATATTACTGAGATTAGCATCGATGCCAATGTGTTCATTACAGTTTTGCTTTGATGCTTTCAGTTGGTGTAGAAAGTATCCAACATAATTCTTGTGGCAAAATCCCCTTTGAGTGTACTCACTCACCTGGTTGAGCACCTGGAACTGCACCACCAGCTCATAGCTCGAGGTTGACCACACCCTCACGCTGCCGTCCTCGCTGCAGGTGGCAAAGTGGCTCTCGTCAAAGCTAAACGCTACGTCATTCACCTGGAGAGCAGAGAACACACAGAGACGCAAGTGTTTTCTCTAGCCTGAAGATAACATTCAACAAGCAAACAGAGCATCCTCAGAGATCTTATTAATAAGACATTTCTGGCATTTTCTTGCTACAGGTTCTGCATATTTTTTCACAACAGCCCATTCTGTTGTATCAGGCGCAGATTATTATTGTGATTAATGCCTGCTGTGCATCTCTCTTAAGAGAGAAAAAAGGCTTATAGAAAGACCAAAAAATAAACAAGAGAACAGCTGTGGGAGGTCAGATAAACAGACAAATCAATATGTAAACTGAACGTGAATAACCAAAAGCAATGTCAAAGAATCATTGCAAAAAAAGAAGCATTTAATAAAAACTGATCTGATAATGTCAGGCTTTTCACAGTCTACTCTTTGTGCTGTGGACAGATTGCACTTACTTAATGACAGGCAGCCTTTGAACTTCATAAAGAAGCCAATTAACTAATCATTAAACCCTTAATAATTTAATATTTTCCGTTCCTCTGAACTCCAGGGAGTCATTTTTATGCTTTTGTCTTAGAACTACCAGAATCTCCAAGTCTCTAATGCTTTATAATCATTTAAGTGTTAATTTTGTTAAGGTCTGTTATTTCTTTATCATTTTTCCCTGTTCAAACAGGATTATGGACTCTATCTATTAGCAGGAGAGGCAGAAAGGTTTTCTGCTGAGTATAAATGAGATGATGGTGGGCTAATTTATT